TGCAAAAGATTTCAACCTTTTTTTTTTTTTTTTTTTTTTTTTTGTAGAAATTCATGACCAAAAGTGTATCTATAGAAAGTTACACCCATTCTAGACACTGAAATTGTAATCCAATGTAAACCTCTGATACACCCACCAAAGTGAAAAATAGACTTATTATTTCAAAAATACAAATCAAGACTATTAATATATATTATAATTTATTATATTTCATCAAGAAGACTATCTTCTTTTATATTTTATTTGAATGGAATTTAAATTTTGACAATATAAATATAATAATGGTGCTATATAAACATACTTTTTTATGAACTTATGGCAACACAATTTTGACAAAAACAAAATCTTTAAAATAGATTACTTAATTACTTAATTGTCTTTTAAATTTTTAATTGAGAAAGAAAATAATAAAATGCCGGCACAAGAAGACACACTTAACACATTATGACAGTACAAAATCATTTTTAGTGTTTCAATATCAAATAAATACTCTACTATATACTTTTAATAAATACTCTACAAATACTTTTAATAACCTTTTAAATTTTTCATTGAAAAATTGTGAAAGTATAATTGCACCACAAGAGGATATATAGTTGTTTCATTAGTGCTACAAGAAAACAAGTGACTAAGGAAAAGTATCAGTTTGGTTGAAAATGGTATTTTCCTTCCTTTCGTTAATGTAAACTTCTCATTCATGTCTTCAAAGTCAGCATTTTCAGTTTTGTTTCTCTTCTTTGCATTCAGCAATGCCAGGTCCCACAATCGAGGTTGGTTCATTGATTGCTCTCAGATGGGACAAAATTAATTTTTGCTTACTGTGGAAAATGCAGTTGTCAGCATAATTTGAACAGCAATACTAAGTTTTGGTAACACGTTAACGCTGTCCTGAACAATAGATTTTAGAAGTTTTTCAGGTTTCAATAATTTTATATTGACTTGACAAGATAGATTGATTCTAAAATCTAAGATGCTGTCAGGTGATTTGGCAATCTAAGATGTTGCCAGATGCCTAATTAATGAATTATTTGTTCAGTGATGTCATAGTATCCCACCCCAACAAATGGTGTTCATGTCATGTGCCCTACTTGTCTTGCCCTAGATATACCACTGTTTATAGAATCATCATTATTTAGTCATGAAGCCTTTTTCCATGGTTTTCTATAACCTTATGCTACCTTTCAGGTTAATTGTGTATTTCATCATAAAAGAACAATTCCACTTTTGATTCAATGAATTCTTTGAGGAAGTTTTTGAACTTGTTGGAGCTGCTGTTGAAACAAGGTTGATTGATTTGTTTTTTATGACTTATCAACCTTTTGCAGCTTATTTAAAGCCAGAAAAGATTTTTAGAGTGGAAGAAATTTTGGAGATAATAATTATTTACTGATAGAAGTCCTAATAATTAAACCAGAGATGGAGGGTGGGGTGGATTCATACCTTTCACAAGGGTATTTGTGCATAAGTGAATAAAACAAACCTGACTGGAATTGGAACTCAGCTCTCCAATTTCCAATTCCAAGCAGTTATCCCTTACACCAACTGTACATCTAATTTTAGAGCACCTGGTATTCTCAAGTAGTCACCCATCTAAGTAACAACCAGATTCAACATTGCTTTTCAGTGATCATATAAGAACCAGCATTTCAACGTGATATGGCAGTAAGCCATTGAAACAAGGTGTGGCCTGAAAATGACAAGTCTGAGGAAAATGTTATATGCAGAAGAACTTTCTATTCCAATATGTCGTTCAAATTATTTGCTGCTAATTTTTCTGCAAGTGCTGTTGCATCCTTTGAGAAATTCTTCCAATTCATCAGTTTTTTCACTGCGATAAGCATTCTTTGTCTTTGACCTCAAAATCTCTCTCTTTCTGTTTCTCTTAACTTCACAAATCTTTTACAGCACCTGCTTATACTTGTTGTATCACTACCAAAAGATTCAGTGTATGTGTATACAACGAATAGACATCAGAATACACTTCTAAGATTTCTCTAACTTTGTACAAAAGATGGTGCTGGGAGCTTTTGCATCAATATCTTATTTATTTTTTATATAAATATATAGCAATGATACAAATAGATTATTGCACAACCATGTTATTAATGATAGCAATATTATGAAAATAATACTCAATTTTGAGCAGACAAAGCTTATATAATAGTGAAAAAATAATAAATAATTTACTATAATAGTGAAAAATAAATTAAGAAATGTAAGTAAAACTACTTGTCTCATCCTTAATTGATCATCTAAAACATAGAAAAGTTTTAAGGAAGTTTTACTTTCTGGCAGAATGGTAGCTTAATGCCATGGCCAAAAAGAAAAGCTATACATTTTAGATTTCCCTTAGCCGGACAGATTTTTCAATAAAAAAAATATCAGAATTAATTTTCAGTTGTAAGCATGAGAACAAATACTTCCTTTTGCCCACTGAGTGATCATGAACTCGTCCATATTTGCATGTCTTAAAATCCAGCCCAGGGGTTTTATGATGTGCCTGATGATTGCCTACATGTGAAACTGGTAGTTATTCTTACATGACTATCTTAATTTATTATCCGTAACTATTTTATAGTAAACATCAGTCAGCATTTGACTTTATAGTCACTAAATCTCAGATATTGAGAACCATAGAAGGAACAACATTAAGTTGTATTTCTTTTATATTGCAAATAAATAAAGTTAGTTCATTAAGATATGTGCCAAGGATTGGATGTTAAAACAGGAGTACCAATTTATACAAAATGAACTATTATTACAAATATCTCTCTCCATTTTTAATATATATATATATATATATATATATATATATATATATATATATATATTATGGTACATTTTTTTTTTAGAAAGCGCTCAATATCAGAGATAGAGCTAACATATTTGGTTGGATTGATGTGAGTTTGTGCTGACGATTGCAAAAGCGTGAAACCCAAGGTCACAAACTCACATCAATCCAACCAAATATATATATATATATATATATATCCCCACTATTATTGCATTTCATTCCATCAAAAGATACTAGTTGAAAAATCTTAAATGAATATAACAAAAACATGGAAATAAATTGTTTTCTACCGATTATGCTAGTCTGTAACGGAATAGTTCTCTTATTTTTTATTAATAGTTTTTAAAAATTATTTTATCGCTAGATCTTTATGTAAGCCATGATCTAATGAGGGAGTTTTATTGAATAAAAATATCAAGATTTTCATTCACTTAAATAATTGCACATATTCTGTTGGGAAAGAAATGACTAAAACAAAAAAAGCAACCAATAATCATCATAACTGTATATTTTCATCAACCACATTTGAATCCAGTAGGATTCTGATATTATTTCACTTAACTGTAGTAATTCTTGATAGTAATAAACTAAATGTTTCTAGTAGTAAATATTTGAAGATTAAGGACTAACTTTTGAAGATTTTGATCTCAGAATTATTTTAGCTTTTTTTTTTTTTTTTTCAGCGGCATATCAACTTCTATGGGTTATTTAATGCTGAAATTTAAATATTTTGCATGAAATTTTATACCTTCAACTACAGATATTTTGCACATAATTTTATATTTCCAGAGTAAAAATTTTTTGTTTTCTTTTTTAGTATATAGTTTATATAGGTAATTTTACTATAAAAATGTATTTTTATACTTGTTTTAGTGTTGCATTTTTGGTCATTTTACTATGAAAATGTATTGCTGATAATTTCAATACAAAAATATTGAAATCTTTTTTTTTTCTAAAAATACATTGCTGGTATTTTTATTATAAAAATGTATTTTTATACTTTTCTAGTTTTGATTTTTGTTTGGGGGTTCACTATTTGCCCATAGCTGGGACCCTAACAGGTGCTACCACCCTGAGTCGGAGTGCACCTTGGAACAACAGCAGAACAACCACACTCTTCAAAACCTCCAATCTTTTGATCAGTGGCTTTGCTGCCAGTTGTAGTTTATCATCATACCCAGGACTCAGATTTCTTTTAAAAGGTTTCAGTATTAACACATTAGTGTATTCAATGGCAGGGAATTGATGTAAGCATTATGGACAAAATAAGGAGGTAATTGTCTGCAGTTAGGAAGTAATGCAAGCATTACTAATTGAATAGTTACTTGCATAATTTATAATTTGGAATTATTTTTGTCATTATAGTCATTATCTTTAGATTATTGTTTTGTCAGAATTTTATTCTTCAATTGTTTTTATTGTTTTCTACTAATTATTATCCTTGAAAATTTTTATCCAGTAGATTTGTCTTTTATTTTAAAGCAATGTCTAAAAGATATTTTTATTTTGTTTTCTTTTTATCTTCAGGTTAATAAAGCCGCCCAAAATCAAATCCATTGGTTGTGGTTCTCCTGCTGAGTAGTAGAAAAAGAAAAAAAAAACAAAAACTTTGTGCCTCTGGAACAAAAGCAGTAACTGAGCTCTTGATGCTTAAAATCGCTCAGGTTTTATCTCCCTGCTCCATTTGCTTGATGGTTCCCTACCCATAGCCCTACCATGACTGTACATGATGGTCACCTGCCCTAATCAACTACCATGCTCAAATGTTGGCTGTTTCCTTTAGACAACTCACTGCCATTTCACTGGTGCTCACATGCTTGGTGCTGCTTGTTACTGGGGCTTGACCTGAACATGCTGGTCAGTCAGCATTGGACATTGTCATCTATTGTGACATGACAAAAATTCTTCAATCATGAGTGATACAAAAAGAAAGATTATGGCCGAAAGGACACTAGAAGAAGAGGCAACCTCGTCTACACCGCCTAATGGTCATGTATTGACCAGTAAAAGTACTTGTAGTGACGAGACATTAGTAACATACCCTGCCCCAAAACATGATGACTTTAGGGTCAGTGAATATAAGTCCATCAACACAGGCCCTCAAACTCAGGTCAGCCCTGATAACCAGTGTAGCAGCACCTTTCCCTCATCTCACCCAAGTGCTCTTACTGGTTCTACCAAGCAGGGAGACAAAACAGAAAGCCAAATGAGCGGTGGCAAGTCTGTCTCCTTACCTCTTTCTGATTGCACTGCTCACAAAAAGAATAGTCTTCAAGTTGGTTCATTATCTCCAAACTCTCACAGGAAAACAAATGATATCAAGCTTCTCCGTTGTGAACTCTGCAACAAATTTTTTTCTGAAGCTGATTTTGATTTCAAAGCTATAGGTGCAGTACCACTGACCAGGGAGAAAATCACTGTGTGTCCTGACTGTAATAAGAAGATTCTTGAAGGTTCTAGAATGGCTCCTCCAACCCAAACCAAAAATCTGGAGGCTTCCCTTCCAACTGCAGGGAATGGCTCCACCCACCTAAACAATGTGACAGCTGCAAGATCCAGCCAGTGCTGCTGTATGGCCTCTCACCAATTAACCACGTCCCAAATATCAGCAAACATGTCTGAAACCGTCGGTCCAGAATTGCTACGGACAATCAAAACTGAGCCTCCCAGTGAGCCATATGCTGCCGTCTGTACAACACAGGCCAACAACCCCCACACATATCACAACCATACTTATCAAACAAAATGTTCAATCTATTTGACTGCCAATCTAAAACCATGTGGTAAACGGGACAAAGAATCTGTGACCAGTAAGCAAGACCCCTCTTCTTGTGGTGACCAACAGAAGAAAAAACCTAAACTTGATGATGATGATGAGAATAAAGGCCCTGGCATGGAGAAAAGACAAAGCACAAACACTGAGACCCTGATTAAAAGAGAGAATAGTCCTTCTTCAGATTGTTCTGCAGATGTGAAACCTTCATTTGTTGAAGTCAAACCTTCCAGTAATGGTCATGCTAAAATAGAAGTAAAACAAGAAACAAGCCCAACAGAGTCGAGCAAGTCCAACTTTCAATTCAAATCTCCAACTAAACCTGCTCCTCTCTCATCATCAGGAGCTACTAGCCACAAGCCAAAAGTCAACAGTACATCAAACACTTACATGTTTGAAGGCAGCATGCTTTGGAAGCCTGTCCATCCCGGGCAAGCACCATCAGCATCATCTCCCAAAGTTGATAGCACTGAAGAGAAGCCCAAGTCATCTTCAAGTACAGAAAAGAAAGAAGAGGATGAGAACACCTTCTGTTGTGAAGGTAGCCTCTTTATCAAGCCTGTTCTTCCTAACGAATTTGCATTTGAAGGCACCATGTTTATCAAACCCGACTCTCCTTTGTTGGCACAAGCTCCTGTTTCTTTTCCTAATCAGCCAAGTGCATCAGGATTATCGTCCATGCCTCAAACCACCAAAACTCTAACCATCCAGTCGGTGTTCACAAATTCTGGCCAGGTAATCAGTAGTATCACTACTACTTCATCAGGAGATAAAAGTGGACATGTTGGTAGTAATGGCAACTCACAACAGACTCAGCTTAGTACGGTAGTAACCACAACTTGTGTGGGGAGTGGTTCTAAATGCACCGTAACCAGCTGCTGCACAAACCAAATCGCAACAAAGGATAGTGAACTGAAAAAGAAACCAGAACAAGAGAAAGAGACCTCAGCTGGGTTCTCACAGTGCCAGACTTCAGGCAGTGGAGGAGGTGGAGGGGGTCACACTGACTTTAGTGTCAAGTCCATCCTCAGCGCCACTGACCGCCGGAGTTATTGTGACTCCCGCCGGTATCAGCAACACTGA